TATCGCGTTCCTCCTTCGCCTTGCCAGCACCGAGATGCATATCTCGCCCGTTCTGCGCCGCGAGCTCAACTAGCGCTTCCGCTCTCGGCTTCCTCAGCTTCTCATACAAACGAAGTGCGTGCTCGATGGTCTGCGGCTTCCCGTCCGCGATACGCTTGGGAGAAAGCACCACACCCAGCACAGCGCCGTCTTCAATCGCCTGAGCTGCACCTTGGGCCATGTGCGGGAGCGTCGGATGGCAAGCGTCGCCGACCAAGGCAGCTGTACCATGCACCCACGTTACCAACGGATCGTGAACTCTCAACTTCCACTCCACGACTTCGCCCTCTGGCACCAGGTTCAACATACGATGGATCATCGGACAGAAATCGCCGTAAACGTCCAACATGGCCTTCTTGCTGCCTTTGGTTGTATATTGCGCGTCTGGTGCTCCGGCAAAGTTGATATCAGGCTGCGCGGTGGAGATGTTGTAAATTTGCTTGTTGTGGATTGGGTAGGCGATGATGTGTTTCTTCTCACCGATCCAGCGTGTTACTGTGTCGGACTCAATCAACTTCAGTAGCTCGGGGTCGTTCTCCATCTGGTCTCGGGTCAACATGATGCGGTATGCAGCTTGACCTGAGTCGCAAGCTGCGCCGGTGTGACCGAGTTCCTTGAGCATGGCGACGCGGGTAGAGCTCTTAACGCCGTCTGCGCCGAGCAAGATATCGCACTCGACTTGCTGGGGCTCTCCGTTGCCCTGAGCTGGTGTAATGGTGAACTTCGGCTTCGCACCAAACTGTACGTTGGATATGTTGCAACCCAGCTTGAATGTGATACCGCTTTCCTTCTTGCAACCCTCATAGAGGCCATTTGCCAAACTCGCTCGGTGGCCGACCATGTGTGGGTATCCATACTTTTCTCGCACGTAGCCCAAATCTACGTACCCTAGCTCCTTGTCTGTCGAGCCTTCCCGAATTGATGTATTCGCGCATTGAACTGCCTCGTCGCGGATCGGTCCCCAGCAACCTAATCGGTCGAGGATGCGAGCCATGTTTGGTGCGAGTTGGATGCCAGCGCCTACGAAGCCCATGTTTGTTGCGTTCTCGTATATCGTGATGTTTTTGTGACCAGCTTTTGCGAGAGATAGTGCCGCTGCTAGGCCGCCCATGCCTGGGATATGTTAGTTATCATGATGGGATGGGCGATATCGTGTCGGGGGTGTCTACCTGCTCCAACAATCGCTATCCTAGTATTCTCTGCCATGATAGGAATACTGCGCCTCTGTCTCGCCACTTGATGTACAATACCTGCTGGTATGATAAGGATGGAGCGCTGCTGATGCAATGTGGTTGCTGGTTGTTGTTGAGTTGGTTTCGCCGAAGACAAGCAGGGAACGTCCCGACAGCCCTTAAGATTATGCTCAAACGTTTCTATATTCCCGTCTCTTGCTTTTGCTCCAATCCCTCCACAAGTTCCGAGCTCCTTCCCGTGCGTAATGTTCAGCCACCGGAAGATAGCTTAGCCGGAACGTTCCTACCAGGGCTTCCGAAGCTGCCTCCGGACCTTGAAAAGCACTACACGTCAATATCGGTCGCAATAGCCGAAGTTTATCTAAGTCAACTCAGTAAGCACTTCTTCGATGAAACATATATCGGGGAAGCTGTCGGCCCGAATACGTCCACGCCTGGGGAGCTTACTGTTCCAAGGTTGTCAGCTACCGGCTGCACACCCCACCGTGGCGGGGCAACGGTTAGCGTCTTTCATCTCAGCGCCCCACCGCCATCAATGAACGCGCGAGATCCGGCAAATGCGGAGTCGCGGAGTGTGGGTGAGCCGTTCTCACGTCTTACTATCGTATCGGCTATGATTGCACGATCTCGAGGTAAGCTGAAGACGCTGTGCTTAGAGATGTTGAAGATGCGCATAAGTCTCGACGCCAGATCGCTTCCACTACGCGACAATACACCTCCAGGGACATGAACTGATGCAGCAGTTCCTGTAAAGCATCAATCGGGCGTCACATTGATGGCTTAAGCAGTTCGCGATCTGGCCAACATCATACCTTTACTCGTACATCATATGCCTGATAGGCCTCGTCGCCTACTTACAGCCGTGTCGACAGTCTTGTGGGCGTTCTCTTCAACGCTCGTCGCAACGACGCGTGTAGAAAAGTCTAAGACCAGAAGTGCATGAAAAAAACGTATGTTTTACTATCTCTTCGTCGCGATGCGAATCTGGGAATTCTACGCCGCAAGTCAACTTCAGTTCCGTGGATACGCGATGGGGGGCTGCATACCCCGCGCTAGCTCAGGGTAGGATGTGGGGTGACTTCCCGAATCATCTCACGAGTAGACTGAGAATTTCGCATCTTTCGTAACTTCAACCACGAGAACAGCTTATTTGTCGAAGGCTTTACAGAAGACTGCTGTGTGATCATTGGATCTGTGAGCGAAGACGAACACATACCTCATCATTACGTGTCGCGAAGCTCGCGTAGAGGAAAAGGGTTCACCCGAAACTCTCTTTAATCTTCGGAACACGATCGGAAGATCAGCCTGAAGACAGCGTGACCTTCGGTGTCAGATAAATCACCTGGAGCTTGCCACCTCTGCAGTGGTGATCTGGAACAGTATTACGCGGAAAAGGCTTCTCCCTTTGGCCCAGCATACCTTCGCGGAGAACACCTTCAGGACGAAAAGGAGTACACGGACCTAAACACAGCGACCCTCTATAATGGCTCGACGAAGCTCATTCGATCAAGCATCAGACGGCTTCCGGGCTCATCTACCAGACCTCAGCAGTCCCCGCTTCACGACGGCCGCAAAGCAAAACATCTACGAATATGTCGAGTCAATGCAAGACAACCGCGCCCCACCGTGGCTGTACGATCTGACTAAAGTCTGGGAGAAGTTATTGGAAGAGCCGTACAAAGGCATCACGAATGACGGCACTGTTAGAGAGGGTCTATATCAAGCACGAGACGAAGGTGTAGATGTTGATGGCCCGGTCAAGAAGGCGGAAGAACTCCTGGCAGCTCTAAATAGCGAGCAGAAGGGCAAGATTTCATACCCGATCAACGCCAGAGAGTGGAGGGCATGGAGTAACCCAGAGTTCTTACTGCGGCCATTCGGGCTCAGACTCGAAGAAGGTAAGTCTCAAATTTACCGACGCTACGACCTTAGGCTAACTGCTACAGTCCCTGAGAGTATCGCGCAGTCAATACTCGCAGTGGTAGAGGCATCTCTTTCCCCAGAAGGCTACGAAAAGGCTATCGCGGCCATGCGGGTGAACCATTTCTTGGGCGAGGTTGTCAAGCTACCCAACATCTTGAACAAGTACTCTTACAACTTCCTGTTGTTTGGTACGCCATCGACCTCTGCTTCCTCGCCTTGGGGCTGGCTCCTCTATGGCCATCACCTCGACATCTCCTGCTTTTACAAGGGAAACCAGGTCATCATGAGTCCATCGTTCACAGGTGCCGAGCCCAACATCATCGATGACGGAGAATGGAAGGGTACCAAGATATTACACAAAGAAGGCAGTCTAGGCTGGAAGCTGATGCAGAGTCTCAGCCACGAGCAACAACAAAAGGCACAGATATTCAAGAAGATGAGAGATGAAGGTATGAAGCAAGTTTACGGCAACTCCAACAATGACGAGACTAAGCGAGATGAGCTCATTACCGATACTTGGGGCCCAGATGACCAACGCCATCGATGCGGTGCCTTCCGTGACAACCGCATCGTACCCTACGAGGGCGTTCTGGTCTCTTCTCTCGAATCTTCACAGCAAGGACTTGTCCTCGCCATATGTGAAGAGTTCCTGCTATATCATCCCACGAAGGCGCGCCAACAAAAGCTCGATCAGATTAGACAGCACTTGAGCGAGACCTACTTCTGCTGGATCGGGGGTTTCGGTGAAGATGATGCGTTCTACTTCCGAGTCCAAAGCCCAGTTATCTTGGTCGAATTCGACCACCACTCTGGTGTATTCCTGACGAACAAGGAGCCCGCAAAGTACCACACGCATACGATTGTGAGGACACCGAATGCTGGAGATTACGGACAGGCTATCAGAGAAGGAAACGAAAAGTTAGAGTGAGCAGGCACTGAATGCAATGTACATAAGGTGTGTCGCAAGAAGATACGTGGCACCCATGTCGTGGATCTCCGTTGTGAGGCGCATGTAGAATTATGAGAGGCTCCAATGAATACCATACCTATCCTCCACTCCCAGGCGCCGGCCTCGTATCACCAACGAGATTCGTATACTTCACATCCACCTCGAGAACTCCAAACCATACATGTCGCCCATCCCTTTGCTTGAATCTTACTTCACCCTCCAAAGTAACGAACTCCGCTTCCTCGCCTGCCGGAAGATAACTCTCGATTACCCGTGTTAAGTCTTGTTTAGCAGTATCATGTCTACGTTCTTGCTGTTCATCAGCATCGCTTCCTGCAGCAACCGAATAGTGAATGGCAACCTCTTCTTGTGGCATAGTGGGAATCCCGGCTATTAGTGCGAACATGTTTCCGGCGTCATCATAGCGAGGAGTCTTAGCTCTTACGTACGTAAAACCTGGTCGTTTCTGAGTTGATAGATGATCGTAAGTCTCGACGTCGCCTTTGTAGGTTGTCGGATAGAGAGAGAAGCCGACGTGGATGTCGGGTTTAACTGGGATGTCTTTTGGCGTTACGTAGCGCACGATCACGTAGTACTTTTCATCTACCTTGTAGGGGCCTTTGGGTGCCATATGTTGAGGTTGTTGACAGTTGAACCCGTGAGGGGGGAGTTGACTTATAGGCTAAGTGTTTGCCAGGAGCTGATTTGCCAGACCCATGTGATACTGTGTAAGTACCAAGCAGCTCGATAATCGTTTCGTTAGCATGAAACCACCTCAGGTGCACTCATAGACGTACAGGGATAATTGACAATTAAATGACGTAGTCTAGTAAGAAGTGATGATGTGACTACTGACTAGTTACTTCAAGTTCCTGCTACCATACACTTGCACAACCTCATGCGGTGTGTGCGTCTACAGTTCCAATATCGTATTTAAAGTACCGACGCTGGGGCCCCTCAGAGCCAGCTTGAATAACAGCCATAGTATCGATCCAGATAGGCCCATCATCTCCAGGTTGCAGCATACCAACTGTGAAGTCCAATCTGATGTTACCACGCAACATAAGCTGCTGTACTTCCGTTGCTACTAGAGCGCGCAGATCCTGCTCCGCCTCCTCACGCTGCTCCCTTGGTTGGCTGGCTATCCTGACTGCTGTCTCGTCGTCGCGGATTACTTTAGCTGTGATCATAGCCATGGAAGCATGTTCACCATTGAAGAAAGGATTGGCCACACAATGCCAGTTGACGCTCGCATCGGCAAAGAACGCACGCTCATGTAGATTCTGGAATCGCCAAGACTGGACGACAAAGCCTGGTACTATGTTTTCACTCCTGCTGGCGGTGCGGATAACCATGTAGACTGGGATGGACATATTAAGTATCTCGTGAAGGGGGTGGGAAGTAGCGCGAACACGTCCATGAGAATGGCCGGAAGTGATATACGAGTTGTGGGCTTGCTACATCCGGTCAGATGTCAGTCTTGAACGCTTTTTGTGGGCAGTGTGACCAGGTCCGATAAGCCTCCAGGCCAAATCGCCATGTCGTTTGGACATGTGGCGCTGCCCGTCCGCCAATTCCCCAAATTTATACTTCAGGACTGCGAGCTGTCCATCTTGAGATTTAGTACTCTTGAACCTGTTGTTACTACATTACTTAGGCTTTCTGAGTTCCAAAATAGCCAAACAGAAGCAACAGCTGCAATGGTCTAGTGGTTATGACATTCGCCTCACATCGAATGTGCGACGCGAAGGGTCCCGAGTTCAATCCTCGGTTGCAGTATTGTTTTTGCCATTTGCACGTGGACTGGGCTGGGTCGTTGTTGGAGTTGTGACGGATCCAGTGCAGATGGCGGCCATTTGATAAGTGTTCGCTTGGCATTTTACATGTGAGTTCGGGAAGCTAAGGGTCTACTTTTTGGCCAATGCAAATCCTGCGGCATGGCATCCCTTTGTAAGTGAATTAGCTTCGTGTATTGCGATGCCAACACAGGCATGCGCACAGTGCTTGCATCGCGAAGTCAAATTACCAGCCTGAAATTGTTAGATCCGGAGTGGGGCGTGGGCTCATTGTTGACAGTCGAGACGTTGGAGAGTCATGGTCGGCTGCGATGCGGTCATGGTCTAGATCGCGATAATTTTCTTTCAATAAAACGTTGTGGGCATTAATGACGATGCAGATGCTGATGAAGCTGGTGGTGTTGACGCTGTGGTCACTCCACAGGACGAACAGGTTGCGGAGCTGCACGCTGACATCAGCGTCGCGGGAACCTCGGCCAGCCACGCGATGCGCGTGCTCACCCCACAATCGAAAGACTGCCATCTAACCACGATCAGCACACCACTAACCCCACATGGCCCAGTCCCGTCGTCTCAGCGTCCGATTGGATCTCGGTGGCAGCCGTTTCACCAGCCGAACCCTTTCCAGGCGGCACGCCAGGAGAAGCCGCGATACATGCGCGGCCGGGAAACCCTTTGAAGGGGAGCACCCAACGACCCGGTACGTCAGCGGCCTTTCGGTCTGGGGACGCGACGCGAGAATGCGTCGGACTAAGCTCATCCGTCCATTTGCGTCACGGAGCCCGGTGATGTCAAGTGCTGTGATTCGTCGTATGATGTACGGGTGTGGTGGAGAGACATGAGTGCACAGCCTACTTGTGACCTGCATTTCCCCGCACGAGGCTGTCGTATATACAGTCCGCATACGCCGCGCTTGGGACGTCTCACCGGAACACATTACACGTAGCAAGCCATCAATCAAACACCACACTACCGAAGTCAAACCGCGGCCGATACTTTCACACGTCTTGGCCATCACACCAACCAACGTCAAACACAACCACACCTGGGCACACCAAGCGACAAGATATAAGTCGAGCCAAAACTACCATCTCGAGGAACCATCACCATACTCGGCACTACTTTCGCCACTACCACACAACCATCAACATGTCTTTCCTCCTCCGCACATCTACCCTGGTACGCCAGAGGCTCTTCACCACTTCAACACGTGCTCGCAGTGCCATCTCGATGGAAGATGCCGCCGCAGCACAGATGACATCCACCCCTGGTGCGAGTGTCGTCCCAAGGCTCGGAAGGGTAGCACGATGGTACATTTCTTCCTCTATGAGATTCCTATCAATACTAACAAAGACCAGGTATCTCCCGACCATGGCGGCGGTAGCCATTGGTATGATCTACCTTCCCAAGACCGCATCACAGCCTCGCCGACCCCTTACGCTCGGTGATGCTAATGCCAACATAGGCTTTGGCGTGACCAATGCACTCAACGAGGCCAACCGCAAAGTCCACTCTGCGCTTGAGCTCACCCAAGAACAAAAGAACCAGATGCTCATGGACTCTTACGGCGAGCGCTCAAGCTTGGAGGACATGGAGCGGGCGATTGCTGGACTCGAGGCAAAGATGACCACCCAAAAGGACAGGAACAGGATCTTGGAAGAGGCATATGGCGACAAGGCCAGTCTTGAGGACCTCCAGAGGGCCATGGAGCTGTACGAGGTGCAGTGAATGAAGCAAGAGAGGGCAAAGAGCCCGAGAGCAGAACCCCAGCTTCGCGCCTTAGAGTGCACACACTACAGAGAAGAGAAGGATGAAGCCGCGCGCTGAATGCCGCGAGAGCCACACCGCCAGGCCACAAGCAGACACCGACATCAAACCAAGGTGTCTGGCTCGTGAACCTCGAGAAGTGGCAGAGGAACATGGATTTCATTTTTGTCTCAGCATTTAGCGTTTTTAGCAACTCGTAACAGACCCCAATAGTGGGCTACGATTTCGTACTATACCAATATCATCAATACCAATTTACTATGTTCAATACACAATATTCTCATTCCTCGCTTTCCAGCCGATGCTAGCCTTGTTCGCTGCTCGGTGCATCTCGTCGCTCGAAAATGTCCGACACCCGACACGTGATCCGACCCGAGTTCTCCCGGCGGCCGCGCTCCATCACAACACCATCTCCGCGCTTGGGTACTCCACATTCCGAAGTCGAGATACGAATGCCGTTGTGGAGTAGGACCGAACTGCGCCGTGAATTTGCATCGTGACAGGTCCGGACTTCGTCTAAGCTGGGCCTGTTCGAAGATATGTTCACATTGTTACATGAGAGTTGTCGAAGTTCAAGAGAGTCGATAACGCGCTATCTATGCCTCTTTGCGCTTAGTCCTTGTCCGTAATTACGAAGCTCCAGATCTCTCGCCACACTCCGCGTGCTAATCGCGCTGGTCTTCTTTCCAAAATCTGCTCTATCCGCGCTCTTTCGTTGTTCCTCGAAGCCTCCGCTTCCATCTCCTCCTGCATCATGGGATCCATGCTCACACTGAGATGCACCTGTTCCTGCTTGAACGGGTCTTCAAAGGTGCTCAGAGGACTCACAATGCCATCGTGCTGGGCGTCCATCTCGTACGAACCGAACCGATGTCGCGGAACTGGCGGTACTGAGACTGGGCCTTCGAGCTCGATGCTGGATAGATCTTCCAGGACGTAGTCTTCCACCGTAAGGTTGCGGAGGTCAACTTTGGATGTTCGGGGAAATACGTACTTGTACGAGAGATACAAAGATCCGAACAAGAAGGGGCCGATGTATGCACCAAGAACGTCGAAAGCCAGGCTGATGGTAGACTTCAGGTTGTCTGTGGATGTGAGACTGCCTTTCGCGACAAGAATGACCAGTGGTGGAACACCAGACCACACGAGTACGAAGGCGCTTCCGAAGATCCCGATATATGCAGGCAGTGGTTGCCATCTGGACTTGAACAGGCGTGACATGTAGAGCGGATGATTGCGACCAAAGATCTGCCGCCTCGCTAGGCGGTCAAGGCCAGCTTTGAAGCGCAGAAAGGTGATGCAAAGAGTGAGATAGATGCATGCCGCTGTACCTGTGTACAGTTCGGAGAGTGTGATGCGCGGCTGTGAGCCAGTCTTGTCCGCCAAGCCTATCAGAGACAAGAACCCGAGTGCCGAGCACAGCAAGATGGCCGCCAAAGGTGTATGCCCATTATTAGTCCGACCAAAGACCTTTGCGATATTTCTTGGTAGGTACTGCTGTGAAAGCATGAACACGCTACGAGATGCGGCGTAGAGATCGGTGTTGGCTGTAGTGTATGCCGATATGATGAACAACCCGTTCAAAACCTTCGGTAGCGCGTGGATAGAAGACTCTTCGGCCGCAATTACGAACGCGGACTTCGTAGCGTAATCGCCTCTCGCCCATATCTTCGGAAGTTGCGGGTCGGCGTAGTTGACATTCGCTCCAGCAGCTAGCATCGCGAATGGATATATGCTGAGCGGAACGATGTAGACGAACGACATGGTGATGGGCACGTCCCTCCAAGGATTCTTTGCTTCACCGACAGTCATAGCGACAAGGTCTGCTCCGAAGCAAGAAAACATGGCTAGAACTATTGAAGTGCTTCACAAGATGTTAGCCATCTGGGGTATATGCAAACATGCTAGAAACCCACATGAGAGCGAACAGTGTGCCTCCGGGGCCAGATATGCCAAAAGCTTCGTCGGGAACGCCCGTCATCTTGAGAGGGACAGGAGTGGTACTGTCGTGGCCAATAGGCTTCCAGTCCGATGGAAATCCGAAGGTTGTATAATCTAGAGTGGTCAGCGTTGTCACACGTAGCCTGAAGATGTTCAACTTACTTGAATGGTATTCTCCCTGTCTCGGGCCGCCGCCTTGGTAGCGTTAGACACATGGCTATGTTGCATTGAAGCGCGGAAGCATACCGGAGAAGTTCAAGACCACACCCATAACACATACAAGGACTAGTAAGCTCAGTTTGAACCACATGACGACCTACGTGCTCGTTAGTTCGCTGTTCGCATCGAGAGCCGTCATCAGGGTGGCCGGAATCCATGTCGCATGTTGCCGCATACATATTGCTAACTCTTAGCAAGTAAACACCCTCTGAGCTAACGTATACTTCTAGCTTAGTGATGGTTTTGTAAAATGCGGCACGGATTGGAGCTACCCCTAGTGCTGTTTTGCTCAAGGTGACGTACTCGTTCGATCTTGCCATACAGCTGATACAACGTTAGCCAAGTTCGTCCTTGTTCAAGAGCACAGCTTACCTTGACGCCGAGGCAATGGGAAAGGGTAGTCAGGGCGATGAACGCGATATTGATAGCTGCCTCAGCACCAGCAGAATGTGGTTTTGGGTCGCTCTTCAGAAGCGCAGTCAGCTCCGCCGAACTCGCTGTAAGAGTAGCCATCGCACAAATCTTGCCTAGCCTAATGGTCGTCAGCGACGCCTTTCAGAAGTTTCCTATCAATACTCACCCGTACATAGATGCGATAGCGAAACCGCATGCTGGGTCTAAGAACGTGTGAG